CAAAATAACAAATTCCGCGCAAACCCTATGCGAGCCAAGGAGAGCACATGTAGACTCACTACTCTATTCGAAGCCCGTGGCGCGCTGTCGTCTCGAGGGTCCCTGTCGGTAAAGGTGCTGTTGAGATGACCCTTTGAACTCTGTATTCAAGACCTTTGCAATACTGCGTGGGCCCAATCCGATACTTAGCCTATTCCGACATCTTCGCTACTCCAGCCCATAATCCGTCTGAAGAGCTTTGCATGCCAAACCGCTGCAGTTCACTACCCCGGAGCCCTCGATGATACGTCTTCTGACCCCCCTGCGCCTTGGGGGCTGTGGGTTCAAACTTTTGAAGCTTGATCACTTGACCGCCGACGAGCTGCTCCTGCACATTGCATGGGCGGGAATTGCTATTCCAGCCATGTACTATGAAAACACGTATATGTCCTTGCTTCAGTGTTCTCACACACTCTGCACACCATGACATGGCGGCTCAAAAGAAACATGTTGGAAAAGTCTGTCGGTTATGCGTTCGGCTTGCAGGACTCCGAGCTCCACGGCGTGGAATCAAGATCCCAGACATTTTGCGGATCTTTCAAGCGATTTTACTTTTTCAAGGGTCTACAGATGTTTGTCACCCGGACACCACACGGCCCTGTAGTGTTGCCATGGAAACCAAACGCAATCGCTCCATCGAGCTTGCTTTATCCGGCGTATGGCCAAGGCAACGCCGTCCACGCTGGAAAAATCTCCTGAAACGACCTACGAACATTCCAGCTGTTCATCCCTGGAGCAAGGACGATGATGGTCGGAAGAACTGCTGCTGCAGTCCGAGTGCTCTGTTGAGGAGCGGAGCTGCAGAAGAGTGGCATCGACAGGGAAGTGTACAATTTCACACAGCGTCATGTTTGTGCCCTTGCCTCGCCCAGAGCCATGATTTCTTTCACAGTGGCAGCAGTCTCCATGACCTGCGGACATCATCTCATGCAGAGACGTCACCCTCCGCACATTTAAACGCAAGATAGTCTAGTTTTCGCAGACTGGAGGAGCTCAGACATCATGTTCACTGGGTTTGCCGTGCTCGATGGGTGGAGTGACATTGAGACTGTAACTTCACTTTCCAACGGGTGCAACACACGGCTCAAAAGAATAAAGTTGTCTGTCTGGCTTCGCTGATATTACTCCGCCTGGGCTCCTTAACGAAGACTCGCACGAAGAACTCGGAACTGCAGCGAAAGACTCGCAGCTGCAAAGACATTAATGCCTCTCAGTGGACTGCTAGTCAAGTTTGCCAGGTGCAACATAGACCTACAGCCACACACCGAAAAAAACAAGCTTTCATCAGCTGCAACCTAACACGCCACCATCGCGCAAACTAACATAATCCAACAATGTGCAGAAACCAAACAATAGAACATAGCAGAATACAACAGCGCACGCTGCTGCACAGCATGAGGCTGCAAAGCACAGTGGCATTGTAGTGTAACATAGCAAGTTTAGTAGACGTAGACGTCGTACTGGTTCTCTAACTTGGGTTCCTTTTTTCGGTACAAAATATAGTACGGCACCCTTATAAAAGGACCCTAAAATGGACCCTAATTTCGAAAACTACCCATATAACAATCTGCAACATGCGCTGAAGTACAAATTGTAAGGTGCATTAAATCATAAATGCACTTGCAGCTAAAACATCTGAATACCTTCAGAACGGCGCACTGCACAACATCACACGCGAGTAGCAAGACAAACGCTCCGAGCAATGGTATCTGAAAACAGTCTGGGATAGCTGAATATAGGGTCGGCCATATACGACTATCTCACCCAGCATTTCCATAACTCCGTAAGCATAATACACGCCCAGGCCCCTGACTCTGCGCCCGGCCCCAAGGCCCGGACCACGATTGCAAGACTACCCGGGCGAAGCTTTCCCCTCAGTTCTTGCAGGGTTGGAAGAAACGGGCTTCGGTGCTCGCCTGAGCAAGGAGCACAAAAGGATAATCAACGAACATCTTAAGCAGTTCGGCCTTTAGGCGTCTTTCCACGGGGGTGTCAGGCTTCATGTCTGCAGCGGTGAAGCATGCTGGCTGTGATGGCACACATTGCAGTGATGCTTGCCGGAAGGGGGTCGGTACATGCGTTACCTACCCCTTGCCGAAGTTGTCCAATTGATGTGAAGCCTTGAACTTCGAAAAGGAACACAATGCCAATCCCCCTGCAAAACCTCCTGAACAGATGGCCAGCTGCTGAGGGTGCAGTCGGCTGTTGCGCGCCTCGCATGCACCAGCGGAAACTCGGGACTGTGCAGAAACTCGGCCTACAGATCTACAAGTTGTTCAAGATTGTTCAAGATCCCTAAAACCCAAAGCCGCAATTTGCTCAAACCGAGCGGGGTGGAACTGAGCTTTTTGTGCTTGCCACGGAAACGACGGCGGTGATAGAGCTTTGCAGAGCTCAGCCGTGCCTTGGCGTTTGCCACCAGGACCTTTTCCACCGGGCCGTACTTCGAGTAGTGCAGCCACAGCTCCTCTGCGAAATCTGGAGTGAGATGGGTGGCGAATCAGCTCTTGCTTAGATTGGTCCAAAGCCAGGGTTCCAGGCTAAGTGGGATTTCAACGTCTGACCCGAGAGTCATATTACTGAGAGTAACGCTTGAGCCGAAGGCACCCAGTGCAAGGCTCAAGAAGACACACACGTATGCCGGAAAGCCAGAAGTAATACAGGGGCCTTGATAGCTACCAGATACTATGCTGGGGGGGGGTTCCTTATTATGATTATAGTATAATATCTCTATAATATACCTCCAAAAATGCCCAAAGCCCTACCATCTACCCCCAAAACCCTTCTCCGATTCTTACAGACCCCATCTTCGGCTCGGGAAAAAAAAAAAGCTCCCCAGGCCGGCCTCCTGAGCCCTGAAGCCGAGCTTGTTGATGCGGCGAGCCAGGAAGATCCGATTCGGGTCCTGCCGGGGGCCCATCGGATTGCAGCGACGAGGCGCCCTCTTAGCCTCTTACAGCCCTTGAGGTATTACTATGAGGGGGTGTGTGGGAGGCATGTAGCATAAAAAGACCTAAGGAAAGGACAGAGAGTTGAAATCTGGCAGTGCCTCACCCCGAGGCCTAGGGCTAGGTTGCGCCCAGAGAACGGTGCCAATCTGCTCCGGTCTAGGGGAAGCGCGCACAGCTTCGAGGCGGGGAAGGGCGTGACAGCCGGGCCAAGCCAAAGCACACTTGGCTCCATACGCTGGTGTAGTACATTGCATTAAAGTCTTGCTGCGTAGTACTATGTTGGTATGTGATTCTTAGGTGTCTGTATTCCTATCATCGTCATGTATTGCGTTGTGCTGACAGAAAGAAGCAATGCAATATACCGAGACCAATACCCTAAACCCCCAATGCCTGACATCCTAAACCCCAAACCCTGAAACCCTAAACCCTCAACCCTAAACCACATCTTTGTGTGAAGCTGGCCGTGAGCTACTGCAGGAGCCTAAAGATGCCAGTACAGTTCCCAAGGGTTTTTTATTGCGGCTATAGTAAACTGTAGTCTACAGGGGCCAAAATCGACACCCATAGGTTCCAACCCTATTCGGAACCCAGGGCCCCGACCTGACCTGTTTTGCCGATCGAACCTCTACTTCAAACCTTGGACTCGTGAAGGGTTTAGGGGTTTAGGGAATTCTGAAAACCAGTGCTCTTGTCCAAAGCCCCGATTAGTTAGGACCCCCCACCCAAAGACACAAAACCCTGAGCCCCAAACTTCTGGCCCCCAACACCCGGAGTCCTGAGGTGAGAGTTGCCCATGCATGCTGCGTGCACCCTTGCGCGGTTCAGATTTAATTCAAGAAACAAAAAACCCCAAAACCCTACCAAAAACAATCAACACCCCCAAAATGCGAACACCAAACCACCGGAAACGCCAAATCCCTAAAACCCACCAACCCCCAAACCCTAACCCCCAACATCCCCCCTTCATTTCTTCAGAGACGAGAAGTCTTGGGGAGGCTCCTCCGAGCTCAACTCGTTGAAATAGCCCCTGAGAGGGCCCAGGGCTTTTGCTTAGGGGTTTAGGGCCTTTAAGGGGGTCTTGGCCTTAGCAGCTTGGAGTTTTTGGGGTGTTGGAGTTCCGTTGGAGTTCTGGTGATGCTGGGCGGCTTTCGGTGTTTGTGGGTTTGGGCTGCTTTGGCACGTTGGGCTTGGGCTTACGGCCTCGTGAGAGCCTTCAGAAACATCAGCAGCAGCAGCAGCAGCAGCAGCAGCAGTAGCACCAGAAGCAGAAACAGGAGCAGCAGCAGCAGCAGCTGCAGTGGCGGTAGCTGTGGAGCAGGAGCAGGAGCAGCAGATGCTGCTGCTGCAGGAGTAGTTTCGTAGTGGTGGTAGTAGTCGACATCATTGATCCGCTTTGTTGTTGCTGTAGTGGTAGTGGCATGAGCAGAGTATAAGGTGGTTGGAATCGTCAGTGCGAGACTACGACATTAACAGGACAGGACCAGGAGCATTGCTCCCACAAACTGCAAGACATGAAACTCAATGTCACCATTAAGAACTTTAGCTTCGCTGAACATTCAAGTCCTTCAAGATTCGAATGTAGACTGCGCTCAACACGTGGGGTCATTTCGATTGTGTGCAGCTTCCTCTGTCGCTTCTTTACACTTTTTGCATCAGCGGAATCCGGTCGAGAGCGCACCGCCATCCCAAAGCTGCTGCAAAGCACTTCGGGAGCCCAGAGTTTGGGGGGAAGTCCCAAGGGCATTCAAGCCTGTGGCCTCTTGCAGTCCTAGAGTCGAAACCGAATTCCCTTGACTTTTAAGTCCAGCCCTACGCCTGAAAATTTTGCCGGAGTCTTGAGAGCCGCAGCGCGAACAGCCCAGATAGAAACGTGACCACGCAAGCCCTTTGATGTCGGGCCTGGCTATGTACAACTATGTACACCCGCAAAGTGCATAATCCTATATCCCTGCCAGCAGCTACGCTTTGGCTGCCTATCAGCTGGCATCCACGAAGGCAGGTATGCACCTGTCATAGTATGTAGAGAACCTTGTTTCGGCCCTCAAAGTCCAGAAGCGCTTCCTGAGATGTGGGGTTTCGAGATCCTCATGAAAAGGATCCCTGGATAAGGTACACCCCCAAAAAATTGAGGAAACCCCTGTGTCTCTCCACATTAAGGGGGTCCTTGATCTTGACATGCGCACCAGACTTTTCAAGGTGGCTGCTTGAAGGAAGGAGGGAGAGGAATGCTGAGCTGCCAGTCCGATCAGACGAGACACTTTTATGCGAGGATCTTTGGCACAAAGATACGCGCAGAACTGGTTCAGTGTCCGGACTGGCACGCCTGACGTCCACCCAAGAAACCAGGGGTCCACGGTACTTTATCCTCAGGCAACAAGACAATAGTAAATGCTCAGGCAACAAACAGCCTGCTGTTGAGTTCACACAGGTTCCCTGAACCCTAAACCCTCGTCTTCCAGGCTGACAGCCTGCACTCCTCCTAAACCCCAAGCCTTTTAGCCTAAACCCTAAACCCTATACCCTAAACCCAAACCATATACCGTAAACCCTATACCCTAAACCCTATACCCTAAACGTCCTAAACCCTAAAACGGTTTAGGGTTTAGGGTACCCTAGAGGGCAGTGGGCGCCTGGTGCGAGCTCACGGGACGGAAACTTCTCTGCGAAGACGCAACAAGGCACCTGGGCTGCTCTGTACGCACACATGCGTGTCTATTTTGTTTGTGTGTGTCTTTTTTGTGTACCTATATATATATATGCTATATATATATATAGATAGCATGTATATATTATATAACAATATGAAGAAGAACTAGAACAGGAATGCCTGGTAAGAGCAATACGACCAAAATTAATGGACCAATGACAAGGAAAATAAGATAATAACTTCAGTAGGAAGAATAAGAAACATGTGCATCTGCACATAATCTTGACAGATGAGTCAATAGTTGGGCTATGGGCATGTGGAGGAATGATTGTTGAGGCTTAACTCCCAGCAGCATCAGGAATCCTCAGTTCTCAGAAGTAGACACAGAATACGGAAGTGCAGCCTCAACGCAACAGTGCTTCGCAGCGCAGGAACATGCCTAAGGCACCCTATATGTAACCCTCAGCCCTAAAACCACCGGAGGGAAAATCCCGAAACCTCACTGCAGCTGCAGAGCCACCGCAAAGCGGCGTCCCGCATCCAAGGCCAAGTCCACGATGGCCTCGGTGGCCTGGAGCTTAGGGGGTTCGAGGATTAAGGGATTAAGGGGTTTAGGGCTTAGGGTGGAGTTTGGACTTTTTTTCTGAAACCATTCAGGGTTTGTCTCAGGGGTGAGCCGCTTTTTCGAAGGTTGAAGGCTTTGTCACCGGTTTGGAGGTTTGTGCTCTAGGCCTTTTAGGGTTTGGCGGTGTTAGGCTTTAGGGCTTTAAGATGCTTTAAGCGTTTCGGTGTTTTGGGGTGTGGGTTGTTGGGTTTTCAGGGTGTCAGGGCTTCGAAGCTCTGCAGCTTCAAGGCCGTTTTGGCTTTAGGTTGTGGTTGGGGCTTGGGTTGTAGAACTTTGAGGGTTTAGGGCTTTAGAGATCTTAATGTGTAGGGGGTCTGTGGTCGTAGGGCTTCAGGGCTTTCGGGTTTTAGGATGTGGGCGTGGTGTCAGAATTGTAGGGCTTAAGGTTCAAGAGGTCGGACACGAAAACAAGCTTGATTCCGCCGGAACAGAGCTGCGGGCTTGTGAGGTCTGGAAGTATTATATTCTGGGAAGGGTCTACATTTACTACTCCAGTCAGCAGCTGCGCCTAAACCCCGGCGGCCTCATCCGGATGAAGGCCAGCCACGAGAGAAGCGTTGGCTAACCTGAGGGCCAAAGCTTCTCACCTCTACTTGGAGGTTCATGGGTAGTTATGAGTAGGGTTATAAGTGCCCCAATATGGATAGTTACCCTACTTATAACCCCACTTTTAACTGCCCATGAACCTCCTAGTACTTACCAACATACACAGAGTCTTGCGCGGACTGCAAGCATGGAGGCCTTGTCTAGAGAAGGGCACATGAAGTGCATGCCACTCGGGCTCCTTGTTGCGTGGCTTTTCCCAGTAACCCAGGTTTGATCCCCTCCGTGGCAGTACAGCATACTTACTATAGGATTACTACAGGAGTACCACACGGTGACTGGCAGGTTTCTATGGTGGTATATGGTGGTATGCTAGGGTGCTTGGGAGGCTAACTATTTACTGAGCACAACCATCACATGATGCAGCAAGAACGTGACATGTCAAGGAATCAGCACTGAGGAGCGAGATGACAATCGTCGAAAAGAAACCTGACGCTGCTTACGAACTATCCGATCCTCCACGCCTGCTCTTGCAAGTAGCAGAAGCAACACAATCCTTCTCTTTATTGCATGCAGTTCTTGCATTCGTTAACTTCAGAAACGGACGCCGGGTCGCAAGGCTGCCTGGCTGCCAGGAGCCTCAGGTCCAAAGTGGCTGGCCTGGCTGGCTTTGAATATGATGATTGGTGCTCCCATCTTGCTACTGTACCAAAATACAGACATTCAGCTTAGTGATGCCTTAAACGGCCGTGACCACATTTCGCAAACACACTTGTGTCTTGCCTTTGGTGTTTCAGGGTGCCCTTCTGCGCTTTGCGTACATCTTACTGGGTGCGAGTTTGACCTCCTTGGATGCAGTAGTAGCAACTCTGTCTTCACTTCGAGTTGCTTTCAAAACAAGGTTCTTCGGATGTTGACATACAGCGTCTCTAATGTTTGAATCACAAGTCCGTCTGGTTCTGTGATTTTTCCCATTTGTCCCATCTGTCCTGCGAGCTCCCTTCCCTTTGCTTTCATCTCAGTCGGCTGCGAGTGGGTTGATTGAGTTCAATGCTGGGTTCAGCTTGTCTACTAAGTAGGACATCTTGCCTTGCCATTCCTGCTTGGGGGCTTCCAGTCGGCTACTACCTTCTCCGGGTTCGAGCGTCTGCTGTAGGTCGAGCACCTCCATTCCTTCGTAGAAGCAGGTGCGTGCTGCATTTGGTATGTTCTGTCCTCTGTGTTTACCCGTGCCCTTGTTCTTGTTTTGGTTGCATGACCGACATGATGTCGTCTTTACATGCGACTGTGCAAGATGTGTCGTTGTGGAGCTCATGCTTTGCATTCATGGCACCCTGTAATCTGTAGGTCTTCGAACAAGCTTTTGATATGGTTTCCTCGGCATCTGCTTACAAAGCGGCACTAGGCCCACAAAGCCACACATAGAGCACACAAGTACTGTTAATATCTCTTGCTGACACATACCATTGAAAGGCTTTTAAACACACAAGAGGCGTGTTCCGAAGTGAAGGCGGGTACTGCTTCTCGATCTCGTAGCTCAACGGCTTTACATGAAACATGAAAGGAACTGTGCCCATCGGGAACAGAGTCTCTCCACAACACTTTCGTGAACCTTGAACAAGAGTCTGCAGGAGGATGCTTGTACCACTTTGCCGACATGAGCGAATTATTGGCCCAACGGGACAAGTTCTCTGCGACTTGGTCCTTCCACCGCTCTTGCTTGCATGTGCTAGAACATCATTCACAAAGAAAACATGTAGAAAGCAGCTTCTAGGAAATGCAGTGTATAGTAGGTAAAACTACTGTAAGAAAAAGAACAGAGTCAAGAGCCTACGCCCCCTGAAGGTGTGTCATGCGTTCTCTATTCATTCTGCAATTCTCAGATGCTAATCATCAGAATGAGGCATGGGGCCAGGGAATTAGATGGCCTGAGTCGTCTTCCGGACTTGGAACATGTCTAGGGTTTAGGGTTTGGGGTTTAGTGTTTAGGGTTTCAAGCAACCCCGTCCAAGCCTTGAATGTATTCTGAAGCCAACCCAAGAGTTCGGTTACATTGGGGAAGCAGACTATGTTGTATGTCTAATTTCATTGCAGAGACGCAAGAAAGAGAGAACAAAAGAAGTTGTCAACACGAAGGCAATGACAAAGAATTAAGCATCTGATGCTAGAAATCAGAGACTTGGAACGTATGACTCTGACCCATCCCGGAACCCATTCCAGAATCCTGAAGACAATCTTTTCTGACCGATTATCTGCGATACTGGAGACCTTCAAGTTGCCTTCTAGACCCAACCATGCCGACACAAGAGGGGTCTAGCAGTGTCCATCACAGAAGTCGACCGGGCCTCGAACATTACAGGCAGGTGCGCAAAAGCTTCTTCCCGCCCTGCACCATGCTTGGAAAAGAGTGGCTAGAATTCAGGCTCTCTGCCAACATCGTCGCATCGCAGTGGACCCTCTCGCGGAACCAAAATGAGATAGCGCCAGGAAAAAACACGGATAGGTACACCACCGCACGTGTGGAACACTACAGGTTAAGTGTGCTCGATGGTGCATTGGGGGCCAGCCCTTAGACTGGATCTAAACTCTCCACGAGCTTGCATGTGCTGACAGTCCTCTTTCCCTCGCAGTCCGGACCTCGCTTCCGTAAAGCCCGCCGCTGCCAACTCTTTAAGGCACCGCCTGTGCTACAAGGGCTTGGCTTAACAAACGTGTCGGAGGAGGATGCCATGAGTGCAGATGTTCTTCTGATTCGGTCTTTGGTCTTGCATGAAGCCGGGTATTTGGGGCCTCGATGCCGTTGTTCTCGTTATCTATGAGTCTAGACCCTGCTCGAAGCATGAGGTACGATCATGCACCGCCAAGCCCTGGCAAGATGGTGCGGACTCCCTACCCCGAACCCTGAAACCCGAAGAAAAGAACTCCTTGGCCGCCTCGCCGAAGTGCCGGATCCACGAGGGTCGAGGGCACCTCCATCTCTACGCCTCGGGCCCCGAGGCTTGCAGAGAAAAACAGGCTTCTCAGAGCCTTCGAAGGGTGCTGCATGCTTCCGCTTGGAGGTTCATGGGTAGTTATAAGTGGGGTTATAAGTAGGGTACAAGCAACTATCCAAATTAGGGGACTTATGACCCTGCTTATAACTACCCATGAACAACCAAGCGGAGCAAGTTGAAGGCTGCTGGAAGGGTTTGGGAGCAAGGAGCCCTTTCTTGGCTCGCATTGTCCTAGTAGTTAGTTAAAGGGGCAGACTTGGGATTCACGTCTAGCGACAAGGCGCATCGCATCGATTCCAGACAATCTAAAACCAGCCCTCCGTTGTCCGCGACACCTCACCACCTGCCCGTGTAAGTTTCAGACGGCAGGCTGGCGTCAATCACAAGCTCCTGAACCCTAAACTCTAAACCNNCCCAAACCCCAAACCCAAACCGCAAACCCCAAACCCTAACCCTAAACCCTGAGCCCCTAAACTCTAAATGCATCATCTCAGATGACGCTCTGGGGCTCCTGCTAAGGGCCCAGGACAGATCACCCTGACCGCCGGCAACGTCCAGGACGCCACTGCCTTCACAGAGAGCCTCTCAGAAAGGGCTTAGGGGTTTAGGGTTTAGGGCCTAGGCACCTTTTTCCATCCGCTTGTCTCAGCCCCAGTACCTTCTAGGGCTTGGGGCTTATAGGGGCTTAGGGTTTAGGGTTTAGAGTACTTTAGGGTTGAGTCTTCTGGAAAGGTTTCAATGTCGCACTGTCACAGGGCTGGGGAGAGGTGGTCGCGGACTTAGTGCCTTCGCCGCACTCTCAACAAGTTAAACTGGTTAGCCATGCCCACCAGGCCCTACTATTTAGCTTCTTCACGGGGTGTCGCGATCCTCGAGACAGACTTACGACGTTGAGTATCGAAGCTTAAACCCAGAAGCCAACCTTGAATCGTGAATTGCATCCACGAGTCCAGCCCTGTACTCTGAAACTACACCATCCTTAATTTAATTCGGCGATTCAGAAGCTCATGCCAAACCACGTGAACACCTCGCTTGAACCTGCAACCTGACAAGTACTCAAATGAATCACCGTCATCATCACCAACATCATCGTCATTCTCACAATCGCTTTACTTCAGAACAGGTAGTTAAGTCATGAGAAAAATGCCCTGGGCTCCAAGACAACGCCCAGCGCCTCCTTGCCGTAGGTCTGGACGAGCCAAGCCGCGAAGCGAGCGGCACGCCGTGGCTTCGCCGCTTTGTCGTGGGGTCCTGCGGGCTATGTGCGGCCTTCTAGAGGTGAAAAGCCAGCGTGACGACGGATTTCTAGGACCTTCACACATGTCGAGATTTGGGTTCAGGATTACGTGCCCCGCCCCCGACCCTACCCGACCGTCGGCCACAGCATCGTAAACGCTCTGCTCTGCTGCCGAGATCTCCTCCATGGCGGGGGAACACATCGCACATGTGCCAACGTTGAGGCGTTTATGATTTTGGATTTCGGGTTTACTGTTAGGGAACAACAGCGCAAACGCGTGTTCAAAACTTCCATGCATAGAATGGTGGCACGAATTTGTCCTACTCGCGTATTCATACCAATCTCTATTTCTTCGCCCAGAAGCCAAACTGTAATCCTCGTCAGCCTCGCAACAAAAGTTGATGGAGTCCGAAGCGGCAACTTAATATTGAAAGTCACATCAACACTCCCGAAATTTTCGCAAACCGGGAACACAACATGGTAACAGTTTGAATTTGGAGAGGAGGGAAGGAGGAGGAGGAGGAGGAGGAGGAGGGAGGAGGAGGGTGGAGGCGGACGACGACCACAGAGGAGCAGTAGCAGTCGCAGTGTACGTGGCGAATCAGTATCACTAGACGGACGATCATGATGGTGTTCCTAATGCTACTACAACAACTACGACACCGACTGCCACGACGACGACTCTCCTACGACGACAACGACTATTACGACTAGCACTGCTCCTCCTCCTCCTGCTGCTGCTGCTGCTGCTCCTACTACTACTACTACTACTACTACTACTACTGCTACTGCAGTAGCAACGGTAGCCGGCAGTAGCAGCATCAGTAGTAGCAGTAGCGGCAGCAGCAGCAGCAGCAGCAGCAGCAGTCGTAGCAGTAGCACGAGCAGCAGCAGCAGCAGCAGTCGTAGCAGTAAAAGTAGCAGTAGCAGCAGTAGCGATAGCAGCAGCAGTAAGCAGCAGTAGCAGTAGGAGCAGCAGCAGTAACAGCAGTAGCAGCAGCGGTAGCGATAGCAGTAGCAGTAGGTGCAGCAGACGGAGAAGGAGTGGGAGCAAGGAGGATTTGGAGTAGGAGGAGTACGAGTAGGACCAGGAGTGATAGTAGTAGTGGTGGTAGTAGTAGTAGTAGTTGTTGTTGTTGTTGTTGCTGTGGTGGCTGTTGTAGTAGCAGCCGCAGCTGATGCTGTCGTTCTTCCCCAGCTCCTCGCAGCCTCGCCGGCCAGCAGCCAGGGCCGAAGCCTTGGCTTCCTCGAGGTCTGGTTGAATTAACGCTTCAACATTTAGGGTTTAAGGGATTGGGGGTTAGTGCCCTTATGGGCCCGCAAGGGCGATTGGCTTGGAACTGTTGATCGCATGTTGGCCTACTAGTGCTGCACATGTCGATGGTGGTGGCAATGATAGGTATTGACAAGCCAATTGTGATTATCAATTCTGCCACTGCTCCCGCTGTTGCTGCTTCAGTCCTCCTCCTCCTGCTACGACTAAGCCTACTACTACCACGACTACTGCTGCTGCTGCTGCTGCTGCTACTACTACTACTACTGCTACTACTACGGCTACTACTACTGCTACTACTGCTGCTGCTGCTGCTACTACTACTACTACTACCACCACAACAACAACAACAACTACTACTACTACTACCACTACCACTACTACTGCTGCGACTAATTCTGTTAGTGCTACTATCACTGTCCTCAATCTTGAAGATCTAGCACACTGTCGGACTCTGACCCAAAACCGTCGAACACTAAACCCCAAAACCCTTAACGTTTCTTTCCCAGGACGAAGTCAAGCCGGCAAAGGGCAAGTTTGTGAAAGTTCTCGCCGTCCACCCGAATGGTGAAGCCGACAAGCTGCTGCTGCGGGAAACCATGACCATGGCTGAAATCATTGCTGCCCAGCTGCCCTAACTGCTTACGCGTTTAGGATCCCAATGTAGCGTCTGAGGTTCGTGGCTCCTCGCATAGTAGTTCTGTGCGACTCTCTAGCCCTGTATCCTAAAACCTGCATGTGGTTTGACCTTGAACCCTAAACCCGAACCGCCTTAGGCCCTAAACCCTTTCAAACCTTCAGCCCTAAGCCTTAAACCTTGGACCCCTCAACCCCTAAACGGCCCTAATCCCTGAACCCAAAACCCTAAACCCTAAACGGCCCTAGCCCCTAAACGGGCCTAAACCCAAAACCGAGCCCAGGAGACGAAAGCACCGGGTGGTCTTCGAGCCCTGGAGCTCGAGGCGTGCGCTTCCAAGAGAGGAGGATTACTGTGGGGCTTAGGTTTAGGGTCTTTTTTTGGGGTTTAGGGTTTAGGGTTTGGGGGTTTAGGGGTTGAGGGTTTAGGGCTTAGGGTTTGGGTTTAGGGTTTAGGGGTTTAGGGTTCAGAGTTAAAGGGTTGGGGGTTGAGGGTTTAGGGTTGGGGGTTTAGGGTATGGGGTTTGTGGTTTAGGGTTCAGGGTTACTATAGGGTCATGATGCTAAGGGTTGCTATAAGGGTTCTATATTAAGTGGTTCGACAAGAGTTGCTACAAGAGTTCTATAATAAGAGGGTTACAAAGGCTCTTTGTAAGGAGTCCGACAAGGGTTGCTGTCAGAGTTCTATAATCAGGGCTGCTATACGGGGTTCGCTAATAAGGGGTCCGACAAGGGTTGCTTTAAAGTTTCATGCTGGTTTATTCAGGCTCATTATTATAAGGTTTGGGTAGTTTCGGGTTTGAGGTTAGCGGGCTTGGTGTAAGGACGTATTCGGGCAAGCTAAGACTTTGGGGTTATAGCGGGAACCTTAGTATATCAACAACCTCCGTCAAGGGGATTCCTCATCGTTAAGACTCCTCCCCCCGCCCACCACAGGTGCTCATCGACGATTTCCTGGTGCCGCCGGATGCCACCCTGCGCCCGCTGGAAGCAAGTCTTGCAGAAACAGGGGTTTATTGTACCCTAAACCCTTAAAGCCCTAAAAGCCCTAAAAACCCTAAAAACCCTAGAAACCCTAGAAACCCTAACCCCTAAACGCCCTAAACCCTAAACCCTAAGCCCTAAACTCCAAATCCCTAGCACTGGGCACGTTCCGAGAGCTTTCTGCAAGGAGGTCGCTAGGTTTGGAATTTCGGGATTTCTGGAGCTTGGGGTGTGAGCTGGGCAGTTTACCGGTTTAGGGCTTAGGGGTTTAGGGTTTAGGGGTTTAGAGTTTAGGGCTTGAGGCTTCAACTCTTAGAGCTGGGGATTGATCAAACCCAACCTCTTCAGACGCTTTCGGCAGGAAATGCCAAACCCTAAAACCCTAAACAGCATGGAGCTTGGCAGCTGTGTTCAGGCTCCGTGTCTCGTTCCGAAAGTTCCTTTTTGTTTTGACGCGGAACGACGCCAAACCAGAATCCGTCAGGTGACTTCTTGGACGAGGACCATGGCCGAAGGGTGTGGGCTTTCGGGCTCCCAGTTGGGGTGCAGGGTTCATGTTCTGCTCCTTATGGCTATCTGGAGGGTCAGAGGCTCAAAGTATCTTCTTTTTACATAAGTTAAGAACTTCAGACTCAAAGGCAGAGATGAGCCCTTGAGGATGTAGTAATTACTATCTCATATCTAATACCTAATAACTAATACCAAGCATCTACTGTGTTCTAATGGGTAACATATAGTTGCCATTCTTGCGGCGACTATGCTTTTGGAAGGAAGAACTACGAAGGCTGTGTTCCTTGTGCCGAAGGACAGATCAAGTGGACCCATCACGCTGCAGTTTCGCAAGAAGTCGTGCAGCCTGTG